TGGTAGTGATCACAGTAACAACATTGCTTTCTGGATGCTTTGAGGTAAGAGCCAACAGGATTTTCTGATGGATTGAGTGTGGGGTTTGTGAGCTAAAGAGTCAAGATGGATTCTAAGATTTTGGACTGCACAAATGGAAATATAGATTGAATGCTAGGATACACTAAATTTAGACATCAGTGAGATGAGGAACCGGCAAAGGAGATTGAGGAAAGACAGTTTTTGAGGTAGGAGGAAAACTCTTTGTGCTTAAACTGTAGGAATCCAAGTTAAGAAATATTTCTAAGAAGTACTCTGAATCAAAAGATTTTGATAAGCAAGTTCAGGCCTAAGAATCAGCGTTGAAGGTGGTAGCACGCAGGCTAATGAGGACATTAATAACAGCAGTTCTGATGGACCTGAGTAAGGAAATAGGTGTGAGCGGAAGTTTGCTCCTGTTTTTTAATGGTGCCAGTTTTTTGTTTGTTTGTTTTTAGATATCAGTTTATCCTAAACTATAAGTTTGTAATTAAATTTATTGGAGTGACCATGCTTAGTGAAGTGAAATAGGTTTCAAGTGTACACTTCTGTAATACGTCATCTGTAGATCACCTTGTGTGTTCACCACCCAGAGTCAGTTCTCCTTCCATCCTCATGTATTTGATCCTGTTTGCCAGCTTTTATTTTGCAAGATAGAACCATGGAAGGCCGATTTTTCTCCTTTGTGGCACATGATTCTTTAGAGTAAGGGATATGCCCTCCCTTTTCCAGAATCGTATTTTTCTCCAGACTTACTTTTGGGTTGTTGCATGTTTTACTTGTTTTAAATTTTATTTTATTTTTCTGTGCACTTTACAGATATTCTTTGAGAACATGAGGGAAAGTAGAAGCATTAGGAACTACTAATCGGACCTATTTTAAGATGGAAGTTCATATATTGTATTTCATTTGAGAACAATAGCATGTGTGGCCAGATCCAGGAAAAAGGGAGGAGTTTCAGTGATGTTTATTTAGTCAATTTCTGTACCACTTTTTATATGTGGTTATTTGGAAACTTCTCACATATTTCCATGAGCAAGGTGTTCTAATTAACCTCATGCCAATTTTTCCTAACCTTATTTTTAAGAGTATTGATACCTTTCATTATAATGACCACATGTGCCAGTTTGTCTGGGTCATTCTCCATTTATGTCATTCCATTTGTCACAGCTCAATTATGTCTAGCTTCCCATTTTGCTATAAACATTGTCCCAATTCCGGAAATACATTACATGAAGAGCCTCCTCTGGTCCCCTCAGAATCCCTGGAAGGTAGGGATCTTTATTGTTGTTTTACATAGGATGTACTGAAACTCAGAAAAAGTTTGAATCACTTTGTAAATGTCAGTCAGGTGGTAAGCAGTGGAGACAATTCAAACCAACTGTGAACAAACAGCGTGACTCCAAAACTTTTTTTTCTCATTACCTGCTTTACTTACTGCCTCCTTGATAACCCTGCATTTTGTCATTTTAAATTAACCATCTAGCTGTGTCTGTAGTGAAATGTTTTCTGGACTCTTCACTCCCTTTAAAGTGATGTTACTTAACAGAACTCAGCTACCATCTAAACATTGGCACCTGTGTGGAGGCTATTAACTGCTTCTTTCTTGGGCCTGTTTATTTATGCATCAGTTACTCAGTCTGCATACAATATACATCTGGCAATGGGGACAGTAATTGAGCTGTATACAGGGTTGCCAATTAGCCTGTAGACTGTCAGTGTCCATTCTAAGTGACTAGGCATGCCTTCTCATTTGGTGCCCATGCTGCATTAATGGTTAAATATTTTGAAAATTATCCCTGACTGCATTCAAACTATCAGGTCACTGCTGTGAGTTGTAGTCAAATATGTTCAAATCTGTCTGGTTAATTTCCATTGAAATACCCCTAGAAGCAGCAGAGTGGAGTATGTTTGAAAGAGAGCTGAACTTATAAATAGGTGATCAGGGTTCTAATAGCGCATCTAAAACTTTCTACTTCTATGACCTTGGATATATGACTTAATCTTATCGATGCTCAGTTTTCTCTGTATAAAATAATGCTGATTCCTTCTATTCAATAGTATTATTATGACATATATATGAAATTATGTACATAAATTGTAATTGGTAGACAGCGTAGGGGAACTCCATTTTTATCATGGTTCTTCGTCTGTCAAATTGGAAGAGAAATAGTAACTACTTCGTAGATTGTTTTGCTGTGGTGATGGTTGTGATTATTTATATTAGAATTACTGGAATAATGTGGTTAACCAAAGAAGATATTTAAGCTCAAATATTACCCTGATATAGTCAATGATAAGTTTGTCTCTCTGTTAGTAATACTAATTGAGTGTTCCACTAAATGTGTAGAATAAAGAGGTGATCATGACATTTAGAGGGCCATAGATCATGTCTCATCATCATTTATGAAGAACGTGGTGCTCTGATTCTATTTTTTATGTAATTTCCTGTTTAAAAAAAACTCAATGTAGATAAAACAGAAACCACACGGATAGGAAAGGTTAAGTCTAAAACTAACTCAAAGACAGCAGTTTTGTCATTATTCTTATTGTTGTTTAGTTGTAGTCTATTTTTTCTTTCTCGATTGATTGATTGATTGATTGATTATTGATGTAGTTCAAATTTGGGACACCCCAAATCCTGCTGTAGCTCTTGATAGTTGGGAATATTTTATGTTTAGTTAGACTGTGCTTATTTTTTTCTAAAGTGCCTCATGTTCTTTACAAATAGAATTTACCTTTTAATGGAGAATAAAGTTCAAGTATTGGAAAACATGGGTGCTAATAAGACTCTAAGGACAGAGAATTTAGAAAATAAAAGTTGAGAGTTGAGAAGATGTGGATTTGGGAGTTTTGCCTACACTCTTAGCTTTAATAAGACATTGTGGCTACTTTACTTTCATGGACTTGTTAGTTCAACTATCAAATTAGAACCTTCCATTGTTGTCCACATGCTTGTGTAAACAATTCGATAACATCTGTATGAAAATGACTTTCAAGATAATCCAGAAGTTTCACCTGCTACTTGGTATGGGATCCTGGGTGCATATAATCCCTAAGCACTACAATATGTGTGCTTTGACAATTTCTTTTTCTGAATTTTTAATTAAATGTATTGGGGTGACAATGGTTAGTAAAGTTACGTGGGTTTCAAGTGTACAATTCTGTAATACATCACCTGTATATCACATTGCGTGTTCAAGTAGAATACAAGACTCATTAAAATGAGTCTATTACCTTTGGAGTATCCCCACAGATGAGATGAACCTCAGTTTTCATTTTCTGCCTTTGGTGCCTTTGGCAGTGTAATGTAAAATGTATATTTTCCAGCTAAGTAATAAGTGCTTTAAAAAAGATGATCATTTTATAGTGTTTTATTTCACTCTTCATTAATTCTGCTACATTATAATTAGCATATTGCATATTATATTTTTTTTCCTGATTGGAGCTAGTATATCGTCTATCAGCTCTTTTAGCATTTAGCACAATTGACCTTGAATCCCATAATCCTAGTCCATGAAACTTTTTAAAAAGCTCGCTCAATTGTGGCTCTTCTTTAAATTGGAGAATCTTTTGAAATATTTTAAAAAGTGTGGATTATTTTATGAGCATTCCCATCATTTGGTGTGCTTGGGAAATAGTCTAATGTAAATGATTACTGATTTCTCTGAAAGTATTTCTGATGTGGCCATATTATCTATATCTATATTGCTGACTCTATCTGGCTGTTTGCTTTCAAAGGGAGGACTCTAGATCGGCACTGTACAATTAAGTTGGTACTTAACACACATGGCTTTTTAAATTTAAAGAAGTTAAATTAAAAATTAATTTCCTCACTCCCACTTGCCATGTTTCATGTGCTCAGTAGCCACATGGGGCTAGTGGCTACTGTATTGGACAGTGCAGGTCCAGAATAGTTCCATCATTTCAGAAAGTTCTACTGAAAAACTCGCTGCAAAGTGTGCATGTATCTAGTATACGTTCTCCTGCCTGTACTCTAATATTACACTTTGGAATATTTGTTTAAATGCCTATTGATCTAAATCAAGTTTTGAAAACTAGTCTGAAGTAGAATAGTTTCTTTCTTCAAACTCAAGTGAAATATTTGCATTATTTAACCATGGAATTATTGCTTTTACTAAATGTTAAAGGCAGTATAGCTTGCTTTTTCTGTGGGTAGTTATGTTTTAGGACATATATATTGTTATAGCCACATCTTTTTAATGACTATAGCAATATAGTGCTGAATCATTGTTTAAAATTTATATCTCTGTAGAGACACTATTAGCTAAACTCAAGAGTATCAAATGTTGGTTGTTGTTAATTTAAAGAATTGTGTTTTGTTGTTTGAAAGTTAACTCTGGTTGGGAGAAATGAACAATGGAATTTAGCAAAATTTTGGAAACTGAATCCATTTTTCCTTGAAATGGGAGAATTTGACATTTTAAAGAGAAAAATTAACCCACAATTTTGTATTTAGACTACTGGTTTTTTTCCTCAATCGTGCCAATATACTTTTTCCCATTGTATATACGTACTGGATTTTCTATTTCATTTTTATTTTAGAATATATACTTTTATTATAGGAGTAATTTCAGTAGTGTATATTTAAAAGATAAGTTCCATTTTAATTATCTGAAACTTTATCCTTTCATTGTTAGTTATAATGTGGCTTTGCTCGTTCTTTTTTTCTCCTTTTTTTTTCAGTCTTTCATTACAGTGTGTCAGAAACTATTATGTAAAAAAAAATTAATAGTAGGAATCTTATTAAAAATAGTGGCAATTTGGTATAAAAATGGCTTGTGCTTTCATTGCCATTTTGATGCTTTTAGCACTGAGAAACTTGAGAACAAATCTTTAGATTCCCATGATGAGCTGACAGAGTGAAATATCTTAAAGCTTGAAAGGGCAAGTAGAGTTATAATTACTGTGTAGCTTCACAATCCTGTACTGAATTACGTACCTTTGCTGTCATGCTGCAGGCCATAGAGCGAGAAAAAGCCGAGAAGTTCAGAAAACTACAAGATGCCAGCCGATCAGCTCAGGCCCTGGTGGAACAGATGGTGAATGGTAATTACACGGACTTGATTTAGATAATCTTCTTAGGGATTTGATAAACACATAGGTTCATATTTATCAGCTGAACTATATCAGACAAGCACTTCCTGAATGCAAATTTAAATGAAAGTGGGTTTGTAAGCTTTTTATTATTCTTTCTTAATGCTAAGCAAATTATTAAAGGAAATTCAACTTTGAGTCCAATAGAAGAAAATGGGAGGTGGTAGAATATTTTACCAATCTGTTGCGGTGAAATTAATTTTAATTCAAATCCTCCTAGCATTTGTCCAAACAATTTAAGAAAATGAGATTTTCAGAAATAATTGAAAATGTAAGCAATCATATAATGTATGTAAAGTGATTATAATGTGATTTTAAATAATTCTTGCAATGTATTTTTTCAAACAGACTAAAATTATGTGGAACATTTCATCAGCATACCTGTTTGCTAATAATATATGTGACATTTTCTATGTTGCTTTTCATTTTTTTCACTCATTTAAAAACTGTCTCCTATGGAGAACTTTGATTTTTTAACTTTTTTTGAGTGAGGTAAAAGTCCAAATTTAGCAAAACATTTTTTTTCTTTTTAAAGTTAATTTTTGTTAACATTTAGTTAAGTCTCAAAGGCTGTCTGAACAAAACATGTTATTGACATCCATTGTAAACAAACTGATTTCGAATTGTCATTGTCTTACTACTGTGTTCATTTCCAGATATAAGTAATTTATGACAATAAGGGATAATGCTGTTTCCAAAGAAGATTTTTTATTTTATTTTTCAAAGGATATGTTTATAAAATCGTTATAACCAAATGTAACAAATGTATTTTTTGTCTTGCATGTCAGAACCTGCCCGCTTTCTGGGGCTTCAATTCTATGTACTAGTTACTGTTTGCCTTAATTGCCATGTTGGCATTAAAAAGTTCAGTGATCTTCTTAGGAAATCAATTTATTTTCTTCTTCTAATTAGCCCCAAGACTGTATTTGGTTAAAAACAAAAACAAGCAAATATGACAGCTGAGAATTAGGTTAGAAATTAATGAATATATAGTCAATGCAACATCCTAAAAGGTTGTCGTTTAGATGCATGTTGCTGGGTGGTTTAACTGATGAATTTGACAACAGCATATTCATGTTAAATAAAATTATATGATCTAAAAAATTTTCTTGTAGCTGTTACATAATCTCTCCCGAGGATCTACATTATTACTTTTTCATTTTTTATAAACTGATGTAAAATGTATACTTTAAAATGATCTCGTTTTATAATCAGATATCGAGCATACCTTAGCTCAGATCATCTGATAGTAGCATATGCTGAATTATTCAAAACACAGTTAAAATTTGGAAATAAGGGAATTATTTGTTTTTGATAGTTGAAACTACATACGGGATTAAAACAATCATACGATTAGTGATAACATAATTTTCTAGATAATTGCTCTCATTGCTCAAACTGAAAGAAGAAAAATCAGGACATATACTAAGTCCTTAATCAATATTAATTAACTGATTACATTCTGTTTAGCAAAGCAAAATTAAGGCAGAAATTGAGATAATTACATTGGTAATTTTGGTCAGAAAATAATAATGCTTCTGAAGGAAGGAAAATGTGAACTTGTATAGAAAGCAAAGAGCAGTAAGGGGTAGGGGTTTTATTTGAGATGTTCTTCGTTGGTTGACTATATTGATCAACTTTAAAGCTTCTTAATTATGCCAGTGAAGATACGGTCTAACTGATATGTGTTTAGGCTCAAATTTAGGCTTACTAGGGCACAGCTCTGCTGCTTCATTCAACCAAGCAGTGTACATAATTACTAAAAAGAAGACTCAATGATTCTAACTTCTCTTTTTGTTCTCTTATTTTTTTTGTGTGGTCCTTCATAGAACAAGGTGCATAATAGTTTATGTGATTGTTTGTGCAAATTGTGAGTAAAGCCAGATACACAATAAGTGCCTGGAGTACCTCTCCAGATATATTTCAGAGGGAGCCCTAACCCTAATTTAGGATAGCTCCACTAGCGTAGAGCCAGACACTCGAGTTTGCTGGTGTGGCTCAGGAAGCTGAGAAGCAAACTGAGGTTTGCCTAAACCAGGTTTCCCAACAGTTAGCTCAGTAAAGCTCTTAATTTACAAGCCCAGAATTTCCTTTCCCAAGTTTGTCCTGCAGTTGTAATAAAACTCAGAACCATATAGAACACATATATTCTTGTCCTTTTATTTATAGAAAGGAAAATGAGAAATGAGTCGTGATATTTCATTTAAGATCTCATATAACATCTGTTCCTTCTAACTATACATCTTGTTCTCAAACATTAAGATAAAGGCAAATCATTCTTGTGCAATGTTATTATGCAACTAATACAAATACATATACAGTTTATGTATGTTTATTGTGATAACATTTAACATATATTCATAGTGTAAAATATGTATGAAGAATAGCATGAGTACAGCTATTGTATTTTAAAGAAAGCATTTTACAAACTATATTTTATATGTATACATGCATACATAGAAAACTGAATTTTCTACTTAAAATAATTTACCATGAGATTATAGTACTTTTCTAAAATATCTGCAGTAGTTTTGGGACTCTTCTTTTAAATTTTCTTTCAGAGTGAAATTTTAAGACATGCAAAAAATATCCTCAACACTTATATTTTACATCATTTTTGACCCCAAATGGTACCTCAGACATATTTCCAAATCACTTTTGGCCATTTCAAAATACGTACTGAAAGAATGAATTTTTAGCACCACTTAAGAAATACAGAAAACAAAATCTGTTAGTGCTGAAGGCAATTTCTTTTTCTTTTATGTAAGTATTTTTTACTAAATATATTGGGGTGACAATGGTTAGTAAAATTTTATAAGTTTCAAATGTACAATTCTGTAATACATCATCTACATATTGCATTGTGTGTTCACCACCTAGTGTCAAATATCCTTCCATCACCATATATTTGACCCCCTTTACCCTCTTCTACCACCCCTTCCCCCCTTACCCTCTGGTAACCACTAAACTATTGTCTGTGTCTATGAGTTTTTGTTTGTCTTGTTCATTTGTTGCTTTCAGTTCTATATGCTACATATGAGTGAAGTCATGATTCTCAACTTTTTCTGTCTGACTTATTTTGCTTAGCATGATTATCTCAAGATCCATCTGTGTTGTCGTGAATGACAGTATTTCAATTGATTGGAGAAGTATGGAGAGCAGTTTGATAGAATGTTGGATGGTAGAGAGAACCTCTTTTTAGTCGCAAGAAATTGTTCACTTCCTAGAACTTTAATGAGAGTAAGTGGGAGACTAGATTGGGTACCTAGTGCTCTAATTATGTTTCCTGTAGCTGCATTATACCGAGAAGGGAAATTTCCAATTTTCTATTTATTTCATTTTTTTAAAAGGATACAGATAAAACCCTTTAAGGTTTATTTTTATATTTCATTATTTAAGCATAAAATAGTATAAAATAATTAAATTTTAGAAAATTTTAGCAACTAAATATGGTAAAGAATCTTGTTACTATATCAATACTATTGATTATTAATTAATGAATCCTGATTTCCTAAAATTTTATTTTGGACAGTTTTTAACTGACCTGCTTGCTTCAAAGCAAAAGCATTTTAGTGTATGAATGGGATTATGGGATTTCAGGACAATCTAGAAATTTGTATACCTAAACATATGCTTACTTCATTTTTATCTGTTTAGGATTAGACTTCCTCTTAATTCTTTTTGTAAAATAATGTTTTTGCATGTACATATATTCTCCTATCAGTCAGGTATTAAAAAAAACCTGGTTTAGATCAATTGTTTTCCTTTATTAATATTGAAATTACCAAAAATAATTGCATCAAAATATTCATTGGAAAACATATACAAGCATAGCTCAATTCCCCCATCTTTAAGCTGTAAAATGGTTTCATTACAATTTCCAGAGGAGATACTATAACATAATTACCTAATAGGGTTAGTGATGTTTTCTATAGTAAATTGTGCTTCACTTTCAATTTATAATTGCAGTTTTCCATGTGTTAATTAAGATCCTGAAGACAATCACATTAGGGAAATGTTTAAATAAAAGTAGTAATTATTAGTATCTTAGACTAAAACAACATCTCAAAGCTATCATCCCCTCCATGTTAGATTATAGTGTTTAAGGTAATACCTAATAGTAAGTCTACTAAGGATGGTAATTAAATAGCACAGACTAATAACATACAGACAAGAGCCCTGCTTATCCATATTAATTATGTACCTGTATTTTTCGTATTTTGGTTTGTAGCTCATGAAATACTTCACATGAATGATGTCATTTGAGTTTGGGCCACAGAATTTTGTCAGATGGTCAAGGGCAGGGATTATAGTCAGTTTGGCTCACCTCATAGCCAATCTCTCATTATCTTCGCTTCACATTATTGCAAAGGATTTCCAGTGGCAATTATATATTTTAATGGGAATAGATTCTGCAGTTGGTTTGTGTATCAATGGGGCATGGAAATAGGACTCTTTGCAGTCGTCCAGCCCCTCCATCGTGAACGAGTAGCTTTCCACAGTTGCACCCATTTCTTCTTCTCTCACTCTTTTGTCTGTTCTGGGCAATTTGATTTATGTCCCCTGTTTCACCATGGGACCCATGGGATAATGGTCTACACGGAATTCACACCCAGTAAATGTTGTTAATCAACAGACATGTTTTTCCTGTTTAACTCTGAACTCCAAAGGAAGAGACTCTGTGTGTGTGTGTGTGTGTGTGTGTGTGTGTGTGTGTGTGTGTGAAGGGAGGAGTTTATAGTAGTCACTGTTTTAGAAAATTAGTCAGAAAAACAAATATGAGTTGTAATCTGATTTTTTTCTCGTATAATTTAATTATGTTTATAAATAGATATAATGTAAAAAGAGTTATATTAGTAAGTTTGTGCATTGTATTTGCTAGGGATGCAAATTTCATATTTATTTTTAAAAGGTATTAATTTTTAAAAGTATTGTTTTCAAAAACATGACGTAGCTGTTATATAAAAGTGTGGTCACAGAAATCTCTAGAATTTAGTCTATAATACTCAAACCTTATTTTCATGGACTCTGAATAATTTCTATTATATTTTAGGCTGTTACATTGAATGCCAAACGAATTTTAATGACCCTCACTTAATATGCAACAAAATCAGATACTATTTGTTCTCAACTTTAAGTTTTCATTTCAAATATTCTTCTAATTCAAGAGCTCTGAAAACACAGGTTTTGCATTATTCTACCCTGGTTTCATGGCTAATGATGAATATATTTGGTGAGGAATACTTCACTTTAAGTGGCGGTTCTGAAGTAACTTTCATGGAAGGTGGTGCACAATTAAAATTATTCTAACAGTCTGTTATGCACTGTACACAAGTAGTAAAATTAATGGATGCACTTCAAGTAATGATCCATTTCCTCTGGGTGCAATATATTTATTCATAGACTATTTCAAAGGTTGTTTAGAATATGAGATGTGAATGGATTATGATCCATTATCCCTGAGATTTTAATGTGCTGCTACAAAACGGTTTCCATAAGTATTGTTCATAATGCCTGGTGAGTTACTGTTTGTATTCTTAAGTAGCTAACAGAAACTTAGCAAAACAGATGCTCAAATAATTGATACTTAAAACTTTGCAGATATTTACACTTACAAACTGTCAGAGAACTTAAAATTTTCAGTTGAGTTAAGGAGCATATCATTCTATGAAATACACATAAAACAGTTATATAATAGGAAAATTATTCATATGTGAGTATTTGCTTGGGAAATACTTAGTACCCATTTTGATTCTACAAAACTTTTAAGGGACTGTCTCATAATATCACCAGTAGTACTGGATAATAGATGGCCATTTAATTCATGACGCTGAAGTAATGGCATGTATCATTTTAATTTAAGAGACATACGTTAAGTAACATGACATGTGGCAGTGCTTTTGATCACTCGCCCAAGTATTTTAAAGCTGACTTGAAGCAAGAGAGACTCTGTGTGTGTGTGTGTGTGTGTGTGTGTGTGTGTGTGTGTGTGTGTTTGGCTTTTTGTGTCTGTGGATATTGTTCCCCTAATGTTTGTATTTGTAAGAAATAAGCTATTGATTTGGTGTTGGGTGAGTTTACAAGTAGAGTGTGTTTATTCTGTACCTACTCTAAGCTGAGAACTCTATCAGATACTGTCAGTGAGGCCATTTTTCTTAGAGGGGTTTATAATTTAGGACAAGTTATACTCTAGTTGAGCAGGAGGCGTATCTGTGCACGAATTAATGCAGTATTAACACATCCAAACCCTTCATAATAAGATGTCTGATTATCTGGGGTCGACATCAGATCTTTGCCAGTGACACCTAGAAATTTCTGTTTTTAATTTTTGGCATGAATGTCCTTTATAACTTTAATTTTAAATGATGATAGATGTATTACCATTTATTCCAAGATTTCCTGGTAAATTCTTATGAATTCATCACTGGTTGATAAAATTTCTTGAAAAAATTTAGACATACACTTTTTATATCCCATATTAGTGCCATATCATATAAATTTAGCACTAACTTTAAAAATATTAATCATTAATTTTTCATAAATGACCTCTTCCTTTCATTAAATGGTTCCCTTTCCCCCTAATTTCAACATTTGAAAGATCTGGTCTCTTTTCTTGTTTCCTACATGTTCTTTTTCATTTCTTTATATAAACATTGACTAATACTTATTGGTTTCCTGGTATATGTGAGACATTCTGAAACTATTTCACATATATTAATTCGGAACCCTCATAGGTAGCCTAAGAGGTCAATTCTGTTTTATGCTCATTTCATGGATTAGAAAAATAAGACCCAGTGAGATAAAATAACTGACTCCAGTTCACCCATCCAGTAAAGGTGGTCAAATTTGAATTTAGATCTACCTAGTACCAGAGCTTTTTTTGTGAATTTCTAGACCCTTCTGCCTGCCTTTACCATTTCTCCTAATATGGAGATCCTTTTTACCTATCACTGTATTTTAACTGCCTTTTTCAATTAGAAAAATCAATATGTAAATAAGTAGCGAGCATTGTAGATTTCATAGTGGATTTGTACAAAACTCACTTTTTTCATTTATTTTAATTTCTTTTACAGTGATGTTTAGTATCTGGACATTTTTTTTGGCATAACCTAATAAGCTGATAGTTTGGATAATGATCAACAAGGATTCATTAAATTCTGTCCCTGTATTTTAATAGATACCACAGAACCTGTTGGTACTTCATTATACTTTGATTTATATTTTGCTGATTCAATTAACATGTATTATTCATATTGAAAATTAACTTATGATTTTATGTTTCCAAATGCTAGGGGGGTCTTCATGTGGTTGCCCTCTTTTAAAGACAGTGAGATCTTTCTGTATTCCCTCATCATTTAGATTAATGTTAAATAAGACTCAATCCAGCAACAGTTCATCAGCCCCTTTAATTTACTTTAGCATCTCTTATTTGCGTATCTTGGACTTGAACTACCATGGACGTCCTTTTTCTAAGTGCTTATTCAAGTTTAACATATCTTAAAAATATTGCTCCTAAACATCTGATCATTTAGACCCATGGTACATTTTAGAATCATCATCTAATAAAATTTAAAATTTCTCTCCTTTGTATTTTTGAAATATTTCATTTTGCAACAATCATGTTAGCATTTTATTGTAATATTTTTCCTCAAACTTAGTGCCTGTATGACTGGAGTTTTGGTTCTCCTCTTAGATTTTATAACAGACACTATCTTTTTATAACTGCAGTTAATTACTTAGTGGCACCCCAAAATATTTTGGCACAATTCTTGGTCACTGATCAAAAACAAATTATCACAAACACTATATCCCACAACACCTCCAGATGTCTCAGTAAAATCAATTGCTTCCTTAACTATTAGGAAGGTATTAGAAGAACATTTAGATCCTCTAAACCACATGCTGCCTCTTATAGCTGTATATATGGAGGCATGCATATATTATCTTTTCACACTTTATTTTTTCAATTATTTTTCTTTAAAAATAGCCAAAGAGGGAGGAAAATATGGTTGCCAGTAGTATTTGCAGTTCCTTTTCTCCAACGTCATCTTTGATACTGTCAGACTTTGAAATGAGAGCTGTGTTTCAAATGAATTGAGAGCTATGATTTGGCAGCATAACATAATTACAACAAAGTGAAAATTAGAATATCAGAGCAGAGGAAAGTAAGAGAGGGTAACATAATACAGTTGTTGAATTCAAATTCATATTTTTTCATCTTTGAAAAGAATGTAGAGCATGTGTAAGTTACCAAAACCACAGGCCTTATGTTTGTTAGAGATGGTCTTCAGACTTCAATAACTTCCCATTAACTAAATCATATTACCAAAAAGTGTCAAAACATGAATATTTGTAACAGTAGGTTCTCCTAGACAACTTGGTCTTCGCTAAATCACTTTATCCCTTAGATATTTTAATCTAGAGGCAGAAACTAATAATGAGTTTATGATCCCTTTTGAGATGCCTGTGGAAATATGTAGGGATAAGAAACATTCAAATATTCAGCATTTCAAAAATATAAGAAAATGATCAGTGCTACATAGCTATAGTTTTAAATACATATCATATTTAATATTTGAATGCAAATGTAATTTATTAAGAAAGTTAGTGTATAAACTAATATATATCAGGGGTGCCAAAAAATGTACACAAGTGGACACTTTGGTCAACGTTGCTCAAGCACTAGTTCGCCATAATCAGAAGTATCTGGACACTGATGGTAGCCACTTTGAGTACCTCTTGTCATTGCAGAAGTCAAATGTGACTTGTAGTAATCTTTAGTTATCAGTATATATTGAGTATTACAAGTTTAATACAGTTTTCCTTTCTTAAAATGTATATACATTGTTTTGGCACTTTCTGTATGTATGTGTGTATAAGAACGTCCCAATTTTGTGAACTAACTTTAGAGAATGAATATTTTAACATGTAGCATTACATGATGTTGCTTTCATGCCACATATAGGATAATAAATGCCTGGATTGGCATTAATCATATATCACATGGCAAAATTGAAAAAGATAGTATATATTAAGACAGCATATTCCCGAACCCATAGTAAGTTCTCCAGAAGGCTGAAGGTGATAATGATGTACATATGTTTCCGTTTTGCTCTTGATAGATCTTTATCTGTTTTAGTGTTGCTGTAGATGGCTTTAAAACTGTCCGATCAACTTCCACCTTTGGAAATGATATGTAAATAACATGAAAACCTTTTTCCATATTAGGAAGATTGTTTTTCTAGTGCTTGTTTCCCTTCTTTGGATCCATAGACAATTTGTCTATTTCTGGCTTTCTATAGCAGAAACAGAGAATTATTTATTTTTGATACTCACCTTTTGCCTTTAAAAAAATACAAATAATATCATTTCAACTAATTTCCACACCGTTTAAAAAAATGAAAATCTGAGATAGTTTTTGGAGGTACACTTTAATAACATATGTGATATTTAACATTTATTTGGAAACGTTTGGAAACATTTATTTCCAAAACGTTAGTTGTCCATGATCAATCTTCCACCCCTTCATCAGAGCTTTGACCATTTTTGTTTTTATTTAAATATATTCTGATCTTCTACATCTTATGTGCTCTTCATTATTATTTTATTACCTTCATGTTTTTGATAAGATGCATCCCTAACAATTTGCAATCAGTAATCAGAAATCATCTTGGTACTTTCTCTCCTTTATCAGTAAATAAATGATTTGTTTGAAATGATTCAGATGCTGAGTATTTTTAAACTTGAGACACATTGGTTTTCAGATAATGTCTTTCAGTCTGTGGCTTCAGTGGATATATTTTCAAACTCTTTCTTTCTAGAGGGTGTTAATGCTGACAGCATCAAACAAGCCTCAGAACAACTGAACAGCCGGTGGGCCGAGTTCTGCCAATTGCTAAGTGAGAGACTTAACTGGCTGGAGTATCAGAACAGCATCATCGCTTTCTATAATCAGCTACAACAATTGGAGCAGATGACAACTACTGCTGAAAACTGGTTGAAAACCCAACCCACCACCACCTCAGAGCCAGCCGCAATTGAAAGCCAGTTAAAAATTTGTAAGGTAAGAATCTTTCTTTCCTCCTATTTGGAGCACGAGCAATCAGAATTCCTTGGCAGTTTCCAGAAGAATAGCAAATTATTTAATCATAAAACGTCCCTTTTAAAGATTTTAGGTAAACATAGTGAAGATCAAAATATAAGCAAAGAAAATTGGTTTAAATATGCGATACATGGATGACTGAATCCTAAAAAAAAAAAAAAAGACAAAAAACATACTTAGTCACCCATGGCTAATTGATTTTGTCAGTTTGCAAAATGGTGAGGCACTGTTGGAGTATGGAACCACATATACCCTATGAGAAATTGCCAGTAATGTGGAGGTCTTTCTTATGACAGCCCACGTGCTCAGAGCAAAACCCCATCATATGTTGAAAAAGTAGGATCCTCACAAACACAAGCAGCTGATATACTGTAAAATCAGATGTAGGAGGAGCATCTTTCAAACTGACAATCCACCCAAATGAGGATAGTTTGAAGATCCCTTTACAAAAATATTTTATAAATACACATGGAGAACAGAGGAATCACAAGAGATAGTATAGTAACCCATCGTCAGGGCTGTTACCGTTCTTAAAGTGGAAAGGATCAGGGAGAGAGATGTTACAGAAACCCAGAAGGAGAGAGCTGGCTGCCATTTGTGAAGGTGGCCTTAAGAGCCAGCTCAAGTGCCATCACAGCAATGGAGCCAGAAAAATGAACACCCTACTTTGCTCTCCACCATGCCTCCGGAATCTGAACAGGGCTTCCCATGGACTAAACTTAATCAGAAGACAGGAGACAAGGGGGTGTACTGTGTTTCCCCAAAGATAAGACCTAACTGGAAAATAAGCCCTGGCATGATTTTCAGGGTGCTCATAATATAAGCTCTACCCCCAAATAAGCCCCAGTTAAGATCCGTCAGCCTGAAATGACTGTATTTGAATAAATGTAGATTTTTGTGCATGAATAAAATGTGTCTTTTGGAGCAAAAATCAATATAAGCCCCGGTCTTATTTTCGGGGAAACATGGCAGTATATGTAAATGTCATCTCCCTGGATCACAGGAGAAGGGTGGACAGTGGTTCCGGAGGGGCAAACACCACATAATTGGCACAAGAGGCCCTGAGGAAGAGATTAAAGAGTATGTCTGCAAGAAAACAAGAGTTATGTAATAATGTAAACCACTTGAACTTTTCGCATCATTCTGATGTGCTCCACTCTTTTCATTGGAAGTGGGAAATTGATGAGAAGATAGATAGATGGAAAGGTTTCCAGGATGAACCTTAATGATAAACAGATGGCTGGGTTTAATAATAAAAAGCAATAAATGGGGGTTAATCTGCATGCTTTGAAAAGAATGGTTTACATAATGGGAGACTGGAGATAGAATGTTGACAGGGCTGATTGATTTGGAGGTGGCGTTGAACCCAGAAAGTGTTGGGGAATTCAAAGCTAATTTGAAGAGAAAAACAATTGAAGGACTTGATGATTCTTCAAATATTGGACCTACAGCTTTACTTGGAAGTAAATAAACCCAGGGGATATATTTCTGGATAAAGAATGTAGTACAGAAAAGCCTTTTGTTTATTAGGCAAATATATAAACCTAGGGAGTTTCTATATTTAGAGATATTTTGCTGTTAAATTATAGAATCCATGACTTTTTTTTTCTGTGAATCTGTGGAATACTCCACCTACATTATCTCTTGCAACAAAAAGCTGATGACAGTCCCTTAACCTGTTTCCTCAGATTCAGATATAGAAATTAATAGTAACATCAACAAAATGCTTTCATCCATAGAGTATCCAAGAATGATACTGTATGCATTATCTGGCTTGGGCTGCCATAACAAATACCATAGACTGGGTGGCTTGAACAACAGAGATTTATTTTCACACAGTTCTCGAGTCTGGAAGGTTCCAAGATCAAAGTCTGGTAGGGCTCAGCTTCTGGTGAGAGCTCTCTTTCTGTCTTGCAGACAGCCACCTTCTCGCTGTGGCCTCACATATCCTTTCCTTGGTGCATGTGCATGGAGGGAGAGAGACAGAATTTTCTTCTTTTTCTTGTAAGGCCTCCAGTCCTTTCAGATAAGGACACCACACTTACGACTTCATTTAACCTTTGCTACTTCCTAAAAAGTACTATCACCAAATCTAGTCACATTATGGTTTGGGCCATCAACATATAAATTTTGGGGGACACAGCATTCTGATACTTCCCTTCCCATTCATGTTCTTCTCACGTGCCAGGAACCCCAAAAGTCAGAACTCATTCCAGCACCAACTTTAAAGTCCAAAGTCTCATCGGAATGTCATTTAAATCAGATGTGGGGAGGACTCAAGGCTTGATTTATCCTGAGACAAAATTCTTCTTCTGCTGTGAACCTGTGAAACCAGATAACTTAGGTGCTTCCAAAATAGGATGGTGGGACAGGCAGAAGATAGACAGTCCCATTCTAAAAGGAGGAAAAATGGGGAAGAAGGAAGGGGTAATGGGTGCTAAGCAAGTCTGAGACCTTGCAAGGCAAAACCCATTGGATTTGAAGGCTTGAGAATAATCCTCTTTGGCTCGAAGCCCTGCCTTCCAGTCCTGCTGGGGCCATGGTTCTACCTTCACGACCCAGTAGGGCAGCAGTCACTGCAGTTTTGTGAGCACTCATTGATCCTGTCCTCATGGCTTTTACCTAGAATAGTGGGGAGAGACATTAAGTAAAAGATTAAATAAATAGATGTAGTAATACCAATGGGGCACTTAAACAAAGGTACAGAGTTCTGGGAGAATGTCTAAAAGGGAAACCTTGACCTAGACAGAGCCACCAAGGGCAGCTTCCTTGAGGCAGGTACATTTGAGTTAAGGTTTTTAGGATGAGTCAAAATTAAGAGAACAGCAAGCAAGAGGTTTCAGACAGAAGGGAGATGGTGGAGGGGAGCAATAACCATCCAAGAACTGAAAGAAGGCCAATGTGAAGGCTGAGCATAGAGGGGCAGGGGCATACGATGAAAGATGGCGGCAAATGCACAGGCACATAGGAGACAAAGTAATGGCTGCTGGGGCATGTTAGCATCTTGGTCTTTACCTGAGGCACAAATGGACATAACTGGTGGTTGTGTATCTTAAATATTCTCTTGAGGTTAGGGACATCATCCTAAGTGAAATCATTTCTTTTGTCTGCATTCAGCCACAAAGTTTCAAATCCTAATGACACAGTTCCACCCGTCTTTATCACCCCTTACTCTTTCTGTCTGCCCCATTGATTTAATTTGATACTCACCAAGATAAAATATTTAGCAGGATAACCTAAGCATCATTCACACAACAGTTAAAATGATACCATTTGTCTGTAATTAGCGATAGGTAAATATAACAAATGACTCCACCCTGTTTATCTATGCATTCTGTTATTTGGGGATTTTTTTTTTAAGATTAGAGTGCAGATTTAGCTCAAAATTTATTACTCGCCAGAACTGATTCTTATGTTGGAGGTTAGAGAGCCATTTGGGAATTAGAAGAAATACATGGTTCTTCTCCTGAGAAAGATACAAAAGTTTTTCCCTCAGATAAACATATAATTGTAAAGGATAAACAGACTCAGGGCGGATGCCTTACCCTGGAGTACCAACCACACTAAAGAGGCCCTTTTATGGAAATAATGAGTAATTGTTAACATCTTTTAAATTGTAAATATCTCAAGTCAAAATGATCTCTCCTCTGATTTACTCTCAGAACTTGAAGGTCTTAACTGAACGGTTGCCCAGACGTTTAATTAGCTTCAAAGTCCCTTTTGTTTTGCAGAACACACTTGACTGTACTGTAGGCTTCTTCTATAGCTCCCTCAACAGGAAGAACACAGCCCTCCATCTGGCCAAATGTAAATCAGGTTCTGAAATGCTTCACAGCAGATGTCAGTGCTGCCATTTGCAAGCCTGGTGTACAAAATGCATGTCAATAATTCTGTACTCAAACACACAGAGTTTACCCTTTACCTTTTGTCTTATTCTACCTCCATGGATATTCCCCTACCTTCTAGAACTTGATTGAGAGGCTTTATATGTGAAAGGGAGAGATGGGTCACCTCCCCATTAATCTATATGTCTCTCTCTTCTTCACCTACCAAAAGGATTTGACTGTCAGAAATTAACCTACCTGAATCAAGTCATACTGTTATAACCACATACCACCATTTCTCTGACTGTTATCTTCGCATCTTCTAAAACTCATAACAAGTGGCATTCCCTATTAGGTAGTCTTGCTACTATGAAAGGATCTATGTGATAAATTTATGTCATCTGATACTAAGACAGAAGTTACTGTCTCCAAAAGACTGCATGCATCCAAAAATAACTTTTTATTTTTTCACTTTTCACTTAGATTTCCAGGAAGCTCAGGGTTATATTTAGTTCGTAATTACTGTAATTCTTTCATTTCCTCCTCCATTCTAATTGGTTTATGATCCAGTTTTTAAATTTTTATTACCCTGTTTGGTACATTTTAAATGGTAAATCTTGAAGTACTTTTTTCTAAAGGTAGCATAGAATAAACTATACGAATGCAACCATGGTGATACTACTTTTAGAAGGAGCATTTTGAAATTTGTTTGAGTTCAAATTTTATATATATCAAATATATATATATATATACACACACACACACACACACACACACACACACACACACACACATACACATATCAGATACATATGAAATACAGCTTCACCGGAAACAAAAGAGTATGAAAACATTTATTTCAAGAACAGCACTGTTCAAAACAAATATATTGCCAGCCACAAATTTGAGTCACATATGTAATTTGAAATGTTCTAGGAGTGACATTGGAAATGGAAAGAGTAACGGGTAAATGAATTTCAATAATGCTTTTTATTTATTAACCTGGTATATCAAAAATATTTTGAGATTTAACAATATTTTAAACTAAGAGAGTTTGTATTCATACTAAGTCTTCAAAATTCAGTGTATATGCTTTCCAGTAAACAGCACATCTCAGTTTGAACTAGACACATTTCAGGTGCTCAGTAGCCAATTGTGACTAGTGACTGCTATATTGGACATCAAAGCAGAATGTTCATGTGATTTTGTCATCCAGAGTACTCTTGAGAGTGAAAGGAGTGCTATTAATTATGCCAGGACAACAAGAGAAAAGCAGAGCAAACAGTCACCCTACTTAAAACAATAGTAATTGCCTATTTAGTCAGGAGACGTAACGAGACCATACAAAAGATAGATAATTATAGACATAAATATGAGTGTGTCTATATATTAATATTATATAGATTATGTATACAGCATCTATGTAATATGAATACACATTTGTAATTTAATGTATGCATATATGTCGATATATGTAGATATGTAATTTATATTCTACACAAATGAATTTAAGGAAAAAATAAATACTGTTCATTAAATGAACTTAGAATTTGAAGCAAAGGCACACAACTTTGAGATGAGAGGTACAGAGCAAAATCCATGTTTTATTTATGGAAGGCGTACAAGACCATTCACGGTACTTTTCACTCATGCTCATTGATGCCCATTAATGTACTAAATGATGTCATTTTGAAATTGAAAGAATTGTACACTTGAAACCTATATAATTTTATTAACCAATGTCACCCCAATAAATTTAATAAAAAAAGGAAAAACAAACAATTTTAAAGGTATTTATATATGATGATATCAATTGAACAAAGAGCGAAGGTATTCTGAAATTGACCAGTATTAGAGGCTTGTGGAAACCATCCTAGATGTTTCCTACCAACTTTTTGATAAGAGCATTAAGCTAAGCTTACATCACTGCCTCTGAACACCTTCCTTTGCCAAAATGTAATGTATACAAAGGAAAAATGTTATTTTCATACCTGAACTTCTGGTACAGGATGAAGTCAGCCGGTTGTCAGCTCTTCAGCCTCAAATCGAGCGATTAAAAATTCAAAGTATAACCCTGAAAGAAAAAGGACAAGGGCCAATGTTCCTGGATGCCGACTTCGTGGCCTTTACAAATCATTTCAACCAAGTCTTCGCTGATGTGCAGGCCAGACAAAAAGAGCTACAGACAAGTAAGTAAAAATATTATACTTCAAATGGCTAACTTGATATTTTCCAAATTAGTTATTTAAAAAGAAAAGAGAAAGTACTAACACCGAAGAATAATTTCTATCAGAGGAACCACCGTCCCTACAACCTGTAGTAACAAGGAAGGAAATACTGTTGCTGGAAAATATACTATATGTCATCGTTTTATTTTTCCCCCCTCCCTTACAATGATTTTATGGCTGTGATGGATAAATGAAGCATATGTTTTACATAGGCATAACTTTTTTTTGGTGGGTTGCAACTTTTCCAATCAAACATTTTGAATATTGAAGAACATAAAAGAGCACTTGAAGCTGCATTCGTGTGTTTTCATTAAATCCAGTTTGCTTCATGTACAGGATATTTACCTGGGCATCTTACTAATACTTCCATCAATTTATATGAAGATTATTATAGCTGTAGCATACATGTGGCAACTAAAACTTGGCAAAGGATAAACAATTCTGTGGGCTGCATTTTAGTGTCAGTTCACTGTAACTACATAAGATCCTCTTTCTCAATTAATGATAAAATATGAGTGGAGCAATTGTGCAAAGGCCTACCATATGACTAGTGAGTTTCTTGACATGTCTCTTTTGTCTCTCACCAGTTTGCTCTTCTGATATTAATGCATAGTATCTGGTCCAAAATATCCCTACTCATCAGCTTGCTTTTTTAAAAAAAAAGATTTTATTGAGGAATTGGGGGAGGGGAACCGTGCTGGGGAATTGGGGAAAGGGGAAACTCACAGCAGCCCAGCTCCAGGTTGAGCTGTTGTTCACTATCTTAGCTGTAGAGGGCAGTGTCACTGGCCCTCATGTGGGATCCGAACCGGGGCCCTGCTGCTCAGAGCTGGCATCCCAAGCCAACTCTTAACCAATGCGCCACTCGGCTGGCCCCATCAGCTTAATTTTCAAGGCAAAAATTCCTTACACAGGTTTATAAACACTTTTAAGCATTAGTAAATGAGTTTTTCATTCACCGTACACATGCATGCATACGTATATATATGTGTACACACAAAGAATTATAGAGTAAAACTCGATTTTAAGACATTACGATACAAAATACTTTAAAAAATATCGTCCTCAAATTTGTTATGAGAAGCACAGGAACATATGTTTGTTTTCTGCTAAAACTTTAATTACTTAGAAAACACATTTTAAAATTCCATTTCTTTGTAAATATATAGAGAATTTACCACAAAACAACATTTCTAGAATAAGTATAGTGATATACATGAAGCTTTCCCCACTTTCCCAGGTTTTTTTTATTTTTTATTTCTATTTCTCTGTGAGGTCATGGAATGAACTGAGTAAAGCAAAAGGTAAATGCATTTTTTTCTTTTGTTTGAAAGTCATTTTTGCTGAAGAGTTTACTTTCCTGCTAGGGAATCAGGTAATACAACTTCACAATAATGTCAGCTCCCTCTAGTGGATTTCAGTATACTTGTCACCGGTCTCTATAAAATCAATTGAAAAGATCGTGAATGTCCTAAATTTTCAAACATTGATCTGTTTAACACTGAAGCACTTCTCTTGTCATAAAATCCATAAACCTCCCTTAAAATGAAATACATTTTAATGGTTATACTCTAACTGGTGGGAAAAAGAGCTTATTTACTGGGAAATTATTTTAATTTACATGTACCTATTAATTATAAAGGTTCAACACTTTTCTGTTTATTTTAAAGATATTCAGAATATTGATGTTGGATGATAATTGAGACTCAACTATGATACTATAATATAAATGTATACTAATGTATACTCTTTATCCATACAGCCATCAATATATCCATTCAGATTATCATGTTTTCTTTCTTTATCTTTCATACATATGGTGATTGTTTATAAAACTGCCAAATGTTTTCATTCCATTTATCTCTAAATAAAATGGCCTGCCTTCCACTTTATTTGCCAAAACATCACTAATAATTTTACTCATTCTTGAGAAACATACCCCGATTAATTAATAGTCATAAATATGGATTATATATGAATTACAAAGTATACAATTTGTACATGTATATATAATTTATATTATATATTATTTAATTTCCTCTCTACTTTTTTCCTTACCTACTTTTTTCACAATGAAACAAAAATTTGACTTCTTAAGTGTACTTTGAATGATGAAAATGGTGTAAAGAAACTGGTGGTTGGTATCTGGCAAAATTTTATGAGAAAATAATATTAAAAGATAAAATGTATCCTATATTTATAGTTATTTTTAGTGTACAAACAAATTTTTTATAAATTACCTTTCTTTCCTCAGAGAGTAACCCTTTGAAAATATCTTGTATTATCCCTATGCCACAACTACACGTATATGATAATTTGTACTATAGCACAACTGCTATAGTATGTATAGCAGTTAACATTTTTTTACCCCTCGACCTAGACTCATGTATATCAGAAAATATAGCACTTAATTCCACACATGACTTTTTTTAAATGATAAAATTATCTTGCCTTGCCTCTCCTGCTTTCTCCTTCGCTCTCCTCTCATATTCTTCTCTTATCTGAAACCTCTCTCCCTTTTAAGTCAGTTGGAAAAACAGTGGGGATTTTTAAACAAAAGATACATCATTTCCACACTCCTCTATTATAACTTTAGATTATCAATTTGACTATACTTTGTCATTAACACATATACTTTGTCATATACACATATACACAGAGAGGTTAAGGGTGAGGGGAGGGAGGGAGGGAGGGAGAGAGAGAGAGAGAGAGAGAGAGAGAGAGAGAGAGAGAGAGAGAGGGAGAGAGAGAGAATAATTTTTTTCATGAAATGGTGCTCATAGAACCATAGAAATGTCAACTAACATCTAACAGTTCTGGTGAGGAGTAATAAAAATTGTTATGTTATCAATTGTTTTGTTCCAAAATGATAGAATTTAGAAGATAATTTTGTTCTATTTCAAAAATTCCAGGAGAAAATCAAAATGTGTGTACATGCACGTACACACACACACACACACACACTCTCTCTATTTATTACACAATATGAGGTACAATATAAATTTCTTCACTATTTGTTAACTTTTAGCCAGAATAACACATTTTAAATTGAGAAATGGGTTGTGCTGGAAAAAAAAATCATTGCAATTAAAGCCTGTCTTGGCAATCTAGAAACCATAAAATGATAAATGAGGAGGGATAAATGGTAAGAATGTCAATTTAAGAATTTCGGTTAGGGCTGGCTGATTGACTCATTTGGTTAAGAGCGCAAGCTCTCAGCAACAGGGTTGCCAGTTCGATTCCCACATGGGCCAGTGAGATGTGCCTGAGTTGAGCTGCCACTGAGTTGATGAGAGCTCCTGCTCTTGGCAGCAAGGTTGCCGATTCGACACCTGTATGGGTGCTCCCCCTCCTCCGCAACTAAGACTGAACGCAGCACCTTGAGCTGAGCAGCCGCGAGCTGCCAACGGGTGGCCAGATGGCTCAGTGTGCAACAAGGTGGCCAGTTCCCATGGGATGGTGGGCTGAGCCCTCCACAACTAGATTGAAAGTGGCGACTGGACTTAGAGCTGAGCTGCGCCCTCCACAACTAAGATTGAAGGACAACAACATGACTTGCAGCTGATGGGTCCTGGAAAAACACAATGCTCCCCTTCCCCAACAGTGTTCACCTGCCCAATTCCCCAATAAAAGAAATCTTAAGGAAAAAAAAAGAATTTAGGTTACGTGGGGGTTAGAAATATTTCATAGATGCGATGAGAAGAGTATCTAAATTCTCTAGTAAATTCTTTATCCTCCTGTTCAGGGTCTAGGCTTCCCCAAACACTGGTTTCCTCCTATGTACCTGGCAAAGGCATCTGTCTTTGTGCTCAAGGCTACACTTTCCAACCTGCAGTTATTCACAAAGCAAATGTTGATTCATTGCCTTGCACTGTGCTGGTTATTGGGGGGTAGATCACTAAGCTCAAACCACATGTTTCTTGCTCTCATTATGCTTGTAATCTAGGGAAAGGCCCAGCCATTTATATGCAATCAAACTGGTGTTTTTATAATTATAACCTGAGATGAGTGCTTGGATGCAGAAGCCAAGGCCAGGGCTCTGAAACAAAATAAAGGAAACTTATTTCATAAATTCTAGCTAGAATTATGTTGGTTTATGTAGGAAATTTTATCTAATTTATTATTGAATAATTTAGAATGTTCTGTGTTCATCTTTCTGGATTTGATAGACTTTTTTTTTCTGTCCTGTACTGAAAAGCAACAGTTTCTTTGAATTTCTGGCGTTTTCTATCTAGCTAGTTTATCTATCTATCTATCTATCTGTCTATCTATCTCCCTTCTTTTCTCCCTCTCTTGATCTAGACATAGATGGATGCTGACTAAATTTTGGACAATCTATAATATTATAACATATACTTTTGAGTTAAGTAACTATTTTATACTTTTACCAAGCTCATGCTATCTTACCTGTTTAATGATAAGCTGACAAATCTAAAAATCTTTATTTCTTCTCATTTAGTTTAGGTACAATTTAATCTTTCCCCAGGATGCTACTAATGCCAAGGTTATCTCCAAGTTAATCTAAACATTTTTCCGAATGCATGGTTAGATTTTCTGTGCAATATATTATGCCTTGACAGTAAAACAAAAAAATGTATATGTATTTTTATTTTTTATTTTTTTTATTTTATTTTTTTAAAAAGATTTTTATTGGGGAATTGGGGGGATGGGAACAGTGCTGGGGAATTGGGGAAAGGGGAA